TCCTCTGTGGCCTTGTAAGGCTGATTCCCCCTCAGGTGAGGGGGGTATCAAAGAGCCAGCCACTAAGTTCATGTCAGAGACAATTTGTGTTCCCTTTACTAGGGAGCCAACTGGGACACTGAGCTGCCATGGTCTACATCTGATGCAGGAGCTCTACCTTATCTCCATGCATGGATCTTGGTTTTTGTATCAGTCTTGGAAAAGACCCATGTAGCCTTTCTTTCTTTCTTTCTTTCTTTCTTTCTTTCTTTCTTTCTTTCTTTCACTTCTGTTGCTCTCCTTGTGGAACTCCTGTACCCTCTCTAGGTCTTTCTGTGTCCCTCTCCTTTCATAAGATTCCCTGCACTCTGAGCAAAGATTGCCTATGAGCTTCAGTGTCTGTTTTGATACTCTGCTAGCCCTCTCTGGTAAGCTCCTGTCCTCTTTTCTGTTTTATACCTCTTCCAATATCTGTCCCATTTGCCTTTCTGAGTGTGGATTGATCATCTTACCTAGGGTCATCCTTCTTCCTTACCTTCTTGAGGTGTACAGATTTTAGAATGCTTATCTTTTATTATATATCTAATGTCCACTTATAGTTGAGTTTATACCATTTGTATCTTTCTGTTTCTCGGATAGCACACTCAGGATGATCTTTTCTAGTTCTTACCATTTACCTGCAAATTTCATGATTTCCTTAATTTTAATTGCTGAGTAGTATTCCATTGTGTAAATGTACCAAAATTGCTGCATCCATTCTTCAGTTGAGGGAAATCTGGATTGTTTCCAGATACTGGTTACTACCAATAAAGCTCATACAAACATGATTGAGCAAATGTCTTCTATACTTGTGATATAGCTGTATCTTGAGGTGACACTATACCTATTTTACTGAGAAAGCACCAGACTGATTTCGAAGTGGTTGTACAAGTTACATTACAACCAGAAATGGAGGAGGTTTCTCCTTTTTACACATCCTCTCCAGCATGTATTGTCATTTGAGTTTTTTATTTTAGTCATTCTGATATGTGTAAGTTGAAATTTCACAGTTGTTTTGATTTGTATTTCACTGATGACTAAGGATATTGAACATTTCTTTAAGTGTTTCTCAACCTTTATATATTCCTCTATTGATAATTTTCTGTTTAGCTCTGTACCCCATTTTTAATTGATTACTTGATTTGTTGCTCATTAACTTTTTGAGTTAGGTATATAATCTGATAATTACCATCCTGTCAGATATAGGTTGGTGAAAGGTCCTTTCCAGTTTGTAGCCTGTCAATTTGTTCAGATGACATTGTCCTTTTCTTTAAGGAAACTTTTCAGTTTCATGAGGTCCCACTTATTTATTATTTATCTTAGACCCTGTGCTGTTGTGTTCTGTTCAGGAAGTTGTCTCCTGTGCCAAAGAGTTCTAGGCTCTTCTCCACTTTTTCTTCTAACCGATTTAGTATATCTGGTTTTATGTTGAGGCAGGGACAAGACAAGGCTGCCCACTCTCTCCATATCACTTCAACATATTACTTGAAGTCATAGCTGAAGCATTTAGACAACTAATGGAGATCAAGGGCATAAAAATTGGAAAAGAAGAGGTCAAAGTATCACTATTTGCAGATGATATGATAGTATTCATTAGAGACCACAAAAATTCAACCAGAGAAATTCTTCAGCTGATAAACATCTTCAGAAAAGTAGCTGGGTACAAAATCAACTCAAACAAATCAAAATCCCTCCTGTATACCAAAGACAAAAGGGCCGAGAAAGAAATCTGGGAAACAACACCCTTCAAAATAGCCACTAATAACATAAAGTACCTTGGGATGACATTAACCAAGCAAGTGAAAGACCTGTTTGAGAAAAACTTTAAGTCTCTGAAGAAAGAAATTGAAGAAGATATCAGAAGATAGAAAGATCTCCTGTGCTCATGGATTGGTAGTATTAACATTGTGAAAATGGCCATCCTGCCAAAAGCAATCTACAGATTCAATGCAATTCCCATCAAAATACCAACTCAATTCTTTACAGACCTTGAAAAAAGATTCTCAGCTTCATATGGGGAAACAAAAAACCCAGAATCTCCAAAACAATCCTGTACAACAACAGATCATCTGGAGGTATCTCCATCCCTTATCTCAAGCTCTACTACATGGCAACAGTAATAAAAACTGCATGGTATTGGCATAGAAACAGAAAGGAGGATCAATGGAACCGAATCGAAGACCCAGAAGTAAACCCACACACCTATGAATATTCGATATTTGACAAAGAAGCCAAAACCATTCAATGGAAAAAAGACAGCATCTTCAAAAACAAATGGTGGTGGAGCAACTGGATGTCTACATGCAGAAAAATGAAAATAGATCTCTATTTATCACCCTGCACAAAAGTAAAGTCGAAGTGGATCAAGGACCTCAACATAAAACCAGGTACTCTAAATCAGTTGGGAAAAAAAAGTGGGGAACAGCCTAGAACTCATTGACACAGGAGACAACTTCCTGAAAAGAACACCAACAACACAGGCTCTAAGAGGAACAATCAATAAATGGGACCTCATGAAACTGAAAACCTTCTGTAAAGCAAAAGACACTGTCATCAAAACAAAACGACTGCCTACAGATTGGGAAAGAATCTTCACCAACCCTTTATCTGACAGAGTGCTAATATCCAGTATAGATAAAGAACTAAAGAAGCAGAAAAGCAACAAACCAAGTAATCCAATTAAAAAATGGGGAAGGGAGCTAAACAGAGAATTCTCTGTAGAGGAACATCGAATGGCAGAGAAACACTTAAAGAAATGCTCAACCTCATTAGCCATTAGGGAAATGCAAATTAAAACCACCCTGAGATTTCACCTTACACCCATCAGAATGGCCAAGATGAAAAACTCAAATGACAACACACGCTGGAGAGGTTGTGGAGAAATTGGAACCCTCCTCCATTGCTGGTGGGAATGTAAACTGGTACAGCCACTTTGGAAGTCAATCTGGCGCTTTCTCAGACAATTAGAAATAGTGCTACCTCAAGACCCAGCTATACCACTCCTAGGTATATACCCAAAATTTGCTCAAGTACACAACAAGGACATTTGTTCAATCATGTTTGTAGCAGCTTTATTTGTAATAGCTAGAACCTGGAAACAACCCAGATGTCCATCAAGGAAGGAATGGATACAGAAATAGTGATATTTTTACACAATGGAATACTAGGCAGCAATCTGTTAATTTTTTATCCAGCCACTTTGCTGAAGATGTTTATCAGCTGAATGGGTTCTGTAGTTGATTTTTAGGGGACACTCATATCTTCTGCAAACAGTGATAATTTCACTTCTTCTTTCCAATTTGTGTCCACTTTAACTCCTTTAGTTTTTGCTCTAGCTAGGACTTCAGGTACTATGTTGAAGAGATACAGAGAGAGTGGACAACCTTGCCTTGTCCCTGGTTTCAGTGGCATTGATTTAAGTTTCTCTCTATTTATTTATTTTAATGTTGGTTATAAGCTTGCTCTATATTGTCATTACTATATTTAGTAATGTGCATTGTGTCCGTGAACTCTTCAAGGTTTTTAACGTGAATGGGTGCTGGATTTTGTCAAATGTTTTTTTGGCATCTAAGGAGATGATCATGTGGATTTTCTCTTTTAGTTTGTTTATATTGTGAATTACATTGATGGATTTATATATATTGAATCACCCTTGCATGCCAGGGATGAAGTCTACTTGTTCATGGTGGTTGATGTCTTTTATGTGTTCTTGGATTCTGTTTGCAAGTATTTCATTGAGTATTTTTGAATCAGTATTCATAAGAGAGATAGGTTTGAAGTTCTCTTTTTGTTGTGTCTTTGTGTGGTGACTGTGGCTTCATAGAATGAGTTTGATAATGTTCCTTCTATTTCTGTTTTTTTTTTTTTTTTTTTTTT